AGGATTCGGGGATGAATTTCCGAACAGTTCCGGAGCAACAGCCGGCGCACGCGCGCATGACTATGGCGGTGAAGAGCAGAGTGGCAGAGCCGAGTCTGCGCTGCCAAGCGAAATTCGGTCAGCGATCAACGTGGCATTAGCACAGGCCCACGAGACGTATCGCGCATCGTTGTCGTCAGAAGTAGAGGCCATTCGAGAGACGATGCAGGCCAGCATGCTGTCGTTCATGCGCGAGATTAATGAGGCAGTGGCAGCGCTGAGGCAGGAGAAAACGCATAGCGCGCCTCCGTCTGTAGCACAGGCGCCGGTGGGCAGGCCAGAGCGAGCTCACGCGCAAATGCAGCGGCCAGCCTTAGGCGGGTACGAGCCGGCAGAGAAAGAAAGAGATTTTGTAAGTAGTAGACCAGCAGCTGCAGCACCGACTCACCTGTTCGTCGACAACCGAACTTTAGAGGCAGAACAGCGGGCACATGTGGAGCAGCGGCAGTTCTCAGCCGATCCGTGGATGCGCGATTTGGGCCCTGACGTGCACAGGCCATTAAGGCGAACCACGATGGGAGACTCCCGGCCCGACGTCGTCCACATCAGAAAGTGGGGCCTTGTATTTGATGGCGAAACCAAAGGAATGCCGGTGGCAGAGTTTATATTTCGATTGGAGCATTTGCAGTCCTTGTATCAGGTGCCCTGGGCCGACGTGTTGCGAGACTTCCACTGCCTGGTGAACGGGAGAGCGAAAGATTGGTATTGGATGTACATACGTACCTCGGGCGTGCCGGACTGGCCGAATCTCCGATATGGGCTGCAGCAGCAATTTCAGACTCGAAGATCGGAGTTTGAACGAGAGCAGGAGCTGAGGGAGCGGAAGCAGCGGCATGGCGAGAGCATAGAAGAGTATATTCAGGCGATGCTGGTGTTGCGTTCTCGGTTGGTGTGTCCATTTTCGGATTATGACCTTATTAAGGTGATAAAGACGAATATTAAAGACACCGTGTCTAGGGTCATCTATCCGATGAATATAACTAATCTGCAGAAGCTGAGAGAGGAGTGCCAAGACGCCGAAAAGATGCTGGCAACGCGTTGGGCGCGGCCCTCAGCCAATACCAACTACGGGCAGCAGCGAGAGCAGCATCGAGTACACGAGCTGGACGTGGTAGCAGAAGGTACAGAAGGCGGCCAACTGGAGCATTTGGAGGCGGTATATAGGCCACATGAAACTGGTGGGAGCCGCTCGAATCTCAAGTGTTGGAATTGTGCACAACCAGGGCATACATATTTCGATTGCGAGTCGGCGGTGCGCAATATGTTTTGCTTCAAATGCGGACAACCAGGCGTGGTGCTGCCAAGATGCCCGAAATGCCGTCCGGGAAACTCGGAGAGGAGTCCGACGCAGCCGGAGGAGTCGCACTCTCGGTAGACGGTGAAACGCGTACCTCCGATGATACAGTAGTTAGGATAGGAATTAGTAGCGATAAGGATAGTACCGTTAGTCATATTTACTCACAGATATATAAAGTCAACCAGGCAGTCCCACCGAAGAAAGTATGGTCGCAGCGGAAACCCTTGGAGCAGCGTCAGCGCGACTATGAAGTAGCCAGGAACCGCATATTTGGTAGCCAGCACGAACCGGATGCGAGAGGGGCGTCGAAGACATCCTTGCGGGCGCGTAGGAGACACCGCGAACGCCGACAGAAACGCCAGGCGGTGTGTGCCGCGGTGAATTCTGCATGTCGTTCCGATAGCCGCCCATATGCTACGGTAGCGATTGAAGGCAGAGAATTTACCGGTCTGTTGGATACCGGGGCGTCGGTGAGCTTGCTGGGAAGTGGTGACATAGAGTCGGTCCGAAAACTAGGTTTGGTGGTACGCGAAAACAAATCCGCGGTAAGGACAGCCGGCGGCGCGCCACATTGCATTATGGGCAGCGTGATGGCGCGCGTTAGGTATAACGGAACAGAGTCGGAAATGGTATTCCACGTTTGCCCGTCGTTGTGCCAACCGCTTTATCTGGGCGTGGATTTTTGGCGCAAGTTCGGTTTGGCTCCGAATGTGATCCCGGCTGTGGACGAAGGACAGCACGTGGCTGAGTTGGAGGAGGAGCGCTTAGGAAATGGTACACCAACGGAGCCACACGATTTAGAGGCGTGGCAACAGGAGAAGTTACAGCGAGTCGTGGCCCAATTCAGATCCTTCGAGGAGCACGGTCTGGGTAGGACGCCAGTGGAGCAGCACCACATTCAGTTGACGGAGGGGGCACTGCCAGTGAAAGAGCGTTTTTATCCCGTGTCGCCGGCAGTGCAGGCGCTATTGTTTGCAGAAGTCGACGAGATGCTTCGGCTAGGGGTTATCGAGCCAAGTGAGAGTCCATGGAGCAACCGAGTGACTTTGGTGAGGAAGCCTGGAAAGAACCGGTTGTGCTTAGACGCGAGAAAGCTAAATCAGCTCACGGTGAAGGATGCTTACCCACTCCAGAGCATTGAGTCGATCTTGAGCCGAGTGGAGGATACCATTTACATCAGCGGCCTGGATCTAAAGCATGCTTTTTGGCAGATCGAACTGGATCAGGAAAGCCGGCAGTACACCGCGTTTACGATACCAGGAAGGCCACTGTATCAATTTAAGGCCATGCCGTTCGGGTTGTGCAATGCGGCGCAGCGCCTTTGCCGGGTGATGGATAAGGTGATTCCCCAGCGTTTGAGAAGCCATGTATTCGTGTACCTGGACGACCTTCTCATAATATCCAGAACGTTTGAGGATCATTGCAAGGTGCTGCTGGACGTGGCAAGTGCTTTGAAAGTAGCCAATTTGACGATTTCCTTAAAAAAATCCAAGTTCTGCTACAAGTACTTGAAGTATCTGGGGTTTGTGGTTGGCGATGGTGCGTTGCGGACGGATCCAGAGAAGGTCGAGGCGATTCGGGCGATTTCCTTGCCGACCAGCGCAAAGCAGCTCCGCCGATTCTTGGGGACCGCTGGCTGGTATAGGCGTTTCATTCGGAATTTTTCCACGATTTCCGCGCCGTTAACGGACTGCCTGAAAGGCAAAGGAAAGTTCCAATTATCGGGCGAAGCGGTTGCGGCATTTCAGGAGTTGAAAGGGGCACTCACCTGCGCGCCAGTGTTGGTGCATCCAGACTTTCGGAAGCCGTTCGTGATCCAATGTGACGCGAGCCAAGCGGGCATAGGAGCGGTTTTGTTCCAACTCGATGCAGACGGGGCCGAAAGGCCGATAGCTTTTTTTTCAGCGAAGCTTCGGGGCGCTCAGCTGAGCTATAGTGTCACCGAGAAGGAATGCCTGGCTGCAGTAAAAGCGGTCGAAAGATTCCGGCCGTACGTTGAATTGATGCCGTTTAAGGTGGTGACTGATCACGCCAGCCTGCGGTGGCTGATGTCATTGAAGGAGTTGGACGGTCGATTAGCGCGGTGGTCGTTGGCCCTGCAGAGGTTCGATTTTAATATTGAGCATCGGAAAGGCAAGGAAAATATTGTAGCCGATACCCTCTCACGGCCTTTCGAACTGGAGGAAGTTGATTTTTTTGATTTCGAGACAACCGAGTTCGAAGGTGCGGAGTATACCGAGCGGCTGAAGCAAGTGCGGGAGAACGCGGAGCTATTTCCGGATTTACGCGTGGAGGATGGGCTGTTGTATAAGCGGGCGCAGTTCACGCGGCCCGAGCGAGAGGAATTTTCCTGGAAGCTCTGGGTACCGCGTCCTGTGTCCGCAGCCCTTATACAGCAGGCCCATGAGAGCGACGCGGCTATGCATGGGGGCATGAAGAGGACCATAGAACGGCTCAGGCAGTTTTTTTTCTGGCCCGGGATGGTGGCACAGGTGAGGAGGTACGTTGCCGGCTGTGAAACGTGCAAAGCAACAAAGCACAGCACGCAATTAGCGAGGCCGGTAATGGGCGCCGAAACCGTATCGCTCCGACCAATGCAGAGGCTGTATCTGGATTTTCTGGGGCCGTATCCGAGGTCCAGGAGAGGGAATACCACCATTCTGGTTGTTCTTGACCATCTGTCCAAATTCGTGTGGTTGCGAGCGATGCCAAAAGCAACCGCGGCGGCAGTGGTCCGGTTTCTGCAGGAGGAGGTGTTTCCGGCATTTGGAGTCCCAGAAACCGTCCATACCGACAACGGTAAGCAATTTGTGGCCAACCAATCCAAGCCAACCATCACCCACGTACGCACGGCGAACTATGCCCCACAGGCGAATGCGGCGGAACGCGTGAACCAGACAGTGTTAGCGGCCATCAGGACATATGTACAGGGCGACCACACGAAGTGGGACGAGAAGCTCTCGGACGTGCAGTGTGCAGCACGCAGTGCTATCCATGGCAGCATCGGCACGTCCCCGTATTTCGTTTTGTTTGGGCAGCACATGTTCACCAGCGGGAAGGATTACAAGCTGGCACGCAAGTTGGGGGCGCTGGAGGATGCGGAATTGCGCATGTTGCCCAGATCGGATCAGCGGAAGGCAGTGCGGGATGAGGTACAGCAGAGTGTCCACCTGGCATATGAAAAGGCGAAACGGCAATACGATAAGCGTGCGAGGATGGTAGCGTACGTACCTGGCCAGGAGATTTACAGGCGAAACTTTGTCCTCAGTCGTTTTAAGGACAACGTGAACGCGAAGCTGTGCCACAAGTATGTGAAATGCCGTGTCCGGAGCAGCGTGGGCAACAGCCTGTACGAGTTGGAGGACATGCACGGGCGTCGGTTGGGAGTCTTCCACGCCAAAGATTTAAAGCAATAGCTAAGGCCCGGCTTTGTTCGTCGGTAGACCGAGAGACCCATCTCAGGGTGTGGGCGGTGGCCTACGTTGGGCAGAGAAAGAACCGCGGCGCTTCTCACTCCCGTTTCTTCCGTTTGGCACCAAAATAAAACCGGAGTGTGGTGTTATGTGCGGCGCGGCAGTATTGGGAAACCACAAATGTCGTCGGACAAAAGGAGTGGCAACTCGCGCGATTGGCAGCTGGAGCGGGCCGATAACAAGTACTCGTGCGTGAGGGGTGAGGACCAGTGCTACCAATTAGGAGGGTTGCAAAGTGGGTAAAATAGCAATTCCGGGGGAATGGCAAGTCGTGGCCTTAGGGAAGAAGAAAAATCAATTGTGGACAGTGAGCGAGAGACACGTGCTATTGCGGGAAAAAACAAAAAAAGAGACAAAATAAGCGGAAGACAATATTCAAACACCGGAGTGACGACAGGAGGGTTGGGATATACACCAGCGAGGCTTCATAGGCAGAGGTAAGGGTCTAAAAAGGGGCCAGTGTGCCAGTGACTAATTTCTTACTATATGTAATAGGAGTAGCAGTAACTGCGGGCGTTCTGGGAAGTGCGCTGTGCGCGGGTCAGCACCGACCGGCAGTACTGGGTCTTAGGCCGGACCTCGGCCCTAGCGGAAGTCAGGCCAATTTCCATGCAACTGGAAGTCTGGGCTAAGTACCCTTCAACATTAAAATACTAAATATTCACACACATTCCGCTCAAACATAGAACCAAAATTTTATATACACCCTACATACATATACATAGCCATCTCACATACACCAGTGCAGCATATAACACAAAATTCAACTAAATACTCACACATATTCCGCTCAAACATAGAACACAAAATTTTATATACACCACACACTCCTTTATATACACTCCATACATGTTCACATACACCATATTCAAACACACACCGAATTTCCATAGCACTCAGACTCACATTCATCCCATAGCCACATAATATAAAATACAAAACAAAAACAACACCCAAACATTTAACCATATTGTAATACACACACGCCCATAGCCACATAATGTAAAATACAAAACAAAAAAACAACACACAAAACAATTAACAATTTTCTGTTAGACACATAGCCCAAACCATTCACAACATAATATAAAACATTAAACAGAAACACAACACCCAAACATTTAACCATATTGTAATACACACACGCCCATAGCCACATAATGTAAAATACAAAACAAAAAAACAACACACAAAACAATTAACAATTTTCTGTTAGACACATAGCCCAAACCATTCACAACATAATATAAAACATTAAACAGAAACACAACACCAAACAAGTAACCATATTGTAAACAAAAATTCAAATGTATACTTAAGAAAAAAGAACATAAAAAAAAAAAAAAAAGAAAAGTAAAAGAAAATGTATAAAAACTAATATAAGCAAAAGAGGTTGGAATGTGTATTGGAGCGGCGCAGTTTTTTTTTGTTTATCTCCTTGTCATTACATATCATTACACCCCTCATAACCACATACTCGAGTATAGGTAGGTTAGGAGGTTCGAAAATCGAATAAGATAAATAGGCACAAAGAGCCAACAAACTGCAGCGTCCCAAAACTCAATGGCCTAAATACCCGAATATATTTTTATTGTAATAAAATTTAAAATTTGAAAATGAATCTGGAGTAGAATCCATTTATGGGGTGAGATGGGGTGACTAAAGTCCCGGAGCAGAAGGAAAACCAAAGTGAGCATGTTGAAGGGAGCCGGCAACAAAATGCCAAAACCGGCTCAAGGTAGGGAGGGCCACGCGGCTACATGACACCAAAGTAGCCACAACTCCACCCAAATTCCACAGGCGTCCCTCAGCCGACAATATGAGTAGGTGTGTTTGATAAAAAAATATAAATTCATTGTTGGTCTGCCGCACCCCTGTCGCGGTCGAATCTGACCCTGAGCCGATGGCTAGCCGGCGTAACGACAGGGGATGCACTGGCAAAGGCGGACATAACAACATGGAAGAACAAGAGAGCATAAAGATGACATGACAGTTCCAGTGGAAGCGTCAGACGCTTATTTCAATATCACAAATTAACGCATAAGTTATTGTGGCATTATGCTTAAGAGAACACAAAATATTAGAGCCTCGCAATTGTATACCCCAGTCTTAGAAAAGGAGGTATCAGAAGAGAATAGGGGAAGCATGTAAGGTCTGTGAGCACTATGTGGGAGGCAGTCCTGGTTCCAATCTAAATAAATAAACAATGGCGGTCGGTGACTTCTATGGGATCAGTCCTTATACATGTTGAAGTTACTGGCATAAACGGTAGGAAGCAAGAAATTAAGTAAGAGGTGGAGCACAACTCTCTACCAAGATGACTCGCCAACTACTTGTAATCCCATTACAAGTCAACAAGCTTAGTTTTGTTTAGTGCACTTAATTTCTTGTAGTGGTGTGTCCGCTATGGTAGGAGGAGAAAGAACCCCACCCTGTCCGAAGTGCAAGAAGTGCACGCCTCGAATCCTCCATATCACAGTGAGAGAACGTAGTGCACACTCGTACTCACGCTCCCTCTTCAAAAATAGCTCCAAATTTTGGGGCTTGCTTAAAAAAAAAAACACTGACACCTGCACGCTGCACCCGTGGCGCGCTTTGTGGAACATGTTCTCTAGCACACATAACACCCCGCACACTACAACACCCGACATTTGCTTTTTTACTTGTTATACCTCTACTTGTAGGGTAAACATAGTATATTAGGTATGTGCATAGTATGTAACAGGCAGAACGAGGCATCTTCGACCCCATAAAGTAAATAGATACATACATATGTAAGTAAGTTCCTAGTCAACATGACGAGACGAATCGATCTAGATATTTATGTCCATCTGGATGAACACCTGGATATTGGAAACCGCTGAGCGCACATTAACCAATCATGGTTTCAGAGAGTTTTTAATGCAGGAATTTTAATAACTAGCAAAATCTTTTCATGTAGGATCAAGGACCCGAAAAGAAACGCAGCATAGCTCAAACCATCATTTATTTTATATAATGTATTTCGTTATAGACTTCAACAAATTCACCTTACAGTTAGGAAACGCTTGTTCACAATCACCAGATAGGAAGCCCACTTGCTCCGCATGCTCATATCTATCCCGACATTCTTTCTCATTTTTATCGAAACCATCATGCTGCGAGGGCCTGTAACAAATACGTGAATAAAAAGGTTCGCAGTTTCAAAAGCACACAAACTTACGTAAGAACTGTAGCATACAACGTACACTTTTTGGGTGAGCTGATGGTAGGGCAGATGTGTGAACGGAGCACGCGCTAGCATACAGGCATCAGTTTAGTTGGCTGGTGGGAGTGGGTTATGTTGAGGGTACCGCAACACTGCGTGCTCACAAAGGTATATTATTTTATTTATTTAAAATTCGCGTGCTGTTTTATGGGAGGAGGGAAATAAAGTTCTATCAACCAGCGATCAGTTATAGGGAGGAAAAGAAGGAAAAGGGGGGCAGAAAGTATTAAGAGAAGAAGCTTGCTACGCTAGGAGCCATAGTGGCGAAATGAGCTCGCAATGGTGGTAATGAGCGCCTCGAGTAACCCCACCCTTCCATGATCGTCATGCTGCATCTACAATTATTGACGATCCCTAAGCCAACAACGGATTCCTAAATTGGCTCACGGACGGCACACATGATTCCCGAATTTAGACACTTACGTCGATTTCATTATAAATTTATTCATATTAACAAAAAAACTAGTTCTAATAAGTAAATAAACAAAAACAAGAAAGGAATGCTAAAGTCGAGCAGGCTCAACTCTTAAATACCCTGTACCACCCCACAAAAAAATAATTAAATTAATTAACTAAATATTAACTAATTAAATATAAAATATTCCATGCATGCATACATACATTTACATCAGAATCGTGCCCTTTGCGTGTTTGTGTACTTGTACATATGTATGTATGTGTGCATTGGGCCTGGCTATGTGGCTATAACTTTCTTTCCGATTATTCTATCTTAATGAAACTTGGTATACGGATATATAATTACTAACCTAATGTGACCACCAAAGTTCAAAATTCCAAGAATTACGGGAGTTATAGCAAATCGGTAATAGGGGGGGAGTGGGGGGGTGGATCAGAAAAAATGAACAAACTCGTCCTTTCTCGGTCTCAGGAGAATCTGTATACCAAGTTTGGTTATTCTAGCTCTTATACTTTCGGAGATCCTACCGTTCATACAGACGGACGGACGGACAGACGGACATGGCTATATCGACTCGGCTTGTCATGCTGATCAAGAATATATATACTTTGTGGGGTCTACCAAGTCTCCTTCTGTGTATTCCATGTGCACTCGCACAAAACTAATATACCCTTGTACCCTTTGGGTACAGGGTATAAAAATTCAGGGAGTTTCTCGCTTCATCGATAATCACTATAATCCATATTAAACAAGATAGAACGCTACAGTCGAGCAAGCCCGACAGTAAAATAGCCTGTACTCTCCACAAAAAGGAAAAATTAAAAAAAAGAAAATTTAAAAAAAAATAAATTATTAAAAAAAATGAATGAATTAATTAATTAAAATAATTAATTAAATTAAATTAGAATACATGTTTATGTTCAGTTTTAACAGCACACATTTACATCACGTACCTATGCGTGTTTATATGCGTGTATGTATGCAGCACAAAGTTGAACAAAAGCAGCAACAACAACAGCTGCGGGCAGCGCTGCCGACAGAGGCAGCGCATGAGCAGCGATTTTACTTATGGCTATAACTTTCTTCAGAATTGACCTATCATGATGAAATTTGGCACACGGACACATTAGTACTAACTGGATGTACCTACCAAAATTGATTTTTAAATTCCGAGAATTACGGAAGTTATAAGAAAAAATACGAATTGCGGGGGAGTGGGGGGGTGTATCAGAAAAAATAAACAAACTCGTTCTGCCTAGGGCTTATAGGAACCTTGATACCAATTTTGGTTATCCTAGCTCTTGTACTTACTGAGATCCTTGCGCTCATACAGACAGACGGACAGACGGTCAGACGGACAGACGGACATGGCTATATCGACTCGTCTTCTCATCCTGATCAAGAATATATATACTTTGTGGGGTCTGCCACGCCTCCTTCTGTGTGTTACATACATGCGCACAAAACTAGTATAGCCTTTCACCCTTTGGGTACAGGCTATAAAAAGGAAAACACAATAATAAAAGTAATAGCAATAATAATTAATAATAGTAGTAATAATAATAACAGGAAATACAATAATTAAATACAAATTCCACGAAAGAATTTGAACAGTATATATAGTAAACTAGCAGGTATTGCCCGTCTTAACCCGGCTCAATATAATGTTTCCAATTGTATTTATTTTGTGTGTGCATAACCTACCCATATGTTTTCACCTTATAAGTTACCAGTAGGAAGGCATTTAAGGTATTTAAATGAACATTTTCTGTTCTTGACAAAAAATTGTTCAGTAGTCCGTTACATTTTTGTTCTTGCCAAACTATTTCGTTCAACGAACATGACCACTATAACTAATATTTTTTAAAGCTCGTTTTCCCCCCGTTGGAGCTAGAATTTTCCAAAAGCCTTTCTTAGTGTGCTCCTACACTATGATGGATACTATGAAAAGATACTTGAGTCCAAATTTCATCTTTTACCGTTTGGGCTGTGCGTTGATCACCAATTAGTCAGGACAAACTGTTTTATATATAGAGATAACGCAACGTTTTAAGATAGACGATTTGCAAAAAAGGGGGAATAATTATAAGGGTATATCCTAATTTTAAATTCACATTTGAGCCTTTTCGTGTCATATTGAGTCAATACGGTCACGCACAAACTCGGAATATGAAACACGGCACTGGTGTCAATGCCGTGCAGCGATGAGCCACGATCAAAAAGCACTGACAATTCTCATCTCAATTTGCTAGAGTAAAACTTTCGATAGTTGAAGCCACCGATACCATCAAAATATCGAAGTTTGAATGCAATAAGCAGAATATTCAAATAATAAAATCTAATTATTTATTGAGATCAATAAGAACAAATCATACATACATACATCTGCCCGCAATGCGAAGCAGAATATGCGTAGCTCCGTTATTCGGTTTCTGCTTTACTATCGCTTACGCAGTCGTTGCTTAGCGACGGTAACTGTAAACTTTTGGCGTTTTGCCTTTGCAATTAACATTAAATGGTCAAAACGAAAGAAGATGTGCGAGCCAACAACTTAAAGTTATTGTTGTTGTTTTGTATGTACATGATACATACATATACAGGCATACATGCATATGCATGTACATATGTATGTATGCAGGGGCACACATAGACACGAACTGTTGCTTGTTGTATGTATGTGTTAGTGTGTGTATGCGATGTCCCCAACTATTTGATATTTGATATATGGCAAGTAAAAAACATATTGCTATATTTTAATCGTTGAATGCCAATTTGTTGATATAATGTTGATTACATTACCCAAATTTGAAATCGATCGGACAAAATTTATAACACAAACTATTCATTTGAAAAAGTGAATAAATATTAAAACCCCAATAATAAAATTAAATGCGATATATCGAAAATATCGATACTTGTGTTGATATATCGTAATACATGTCGAATACAAATACATCGAAAAACATCGTTTGAGAGTTATTGATTATAATACTGTATTCGATTGTTCACTGTACACATATGTACATACATACATACAAATGTATTTGTGTGTGTACGGTAACTGTAAACTTTTGGCATTTTTCGTATGCAATTAACAGCCGTAAATTATCAAAACGAAAGAAGTTTTGCGAGCCAATAACTTGTTGTTGTTGTTTTAAAAATTTTGATTTGAAAACATAGAACACTATTTATTACAATTAAACAACAGTGTTCGATGGCCCACTGCATACATACAAACCTATATATGTATATAAGAATGTATGTACGTACATACATACTTATTGATGTACATATGTACATACTATACATACAGACGTATGTATATATGTATGTACGTATGTAATACATATGGTGCTGGTGTAATTCATAATGCGAAATTCTTTCTAAGGGGAGCAATGTCCCCCCTGCCCAACCTGCGTACGCCCTTGTAGTCCGTTGTCTTAAAATCCCTTATGCCAAATGTACTAAACAAAGAAAAAATAACATAAAAATGTTTATGTTATAATGTTAATAATTTTTAATTAATTAACATTTCTTGCCCTGTCAGTGCAAGACGAATGTACTTTTATACATATGTATGTATGTATGTACATACATTTGTACAAATGAACATTCACACATTAGTGTCTCACATTTTGCTTTGGCTACTTCAACCGTTTGCACGCAACTACACGAACAGCTGCTTGTATGTATGTATGTGTGTGTGTATGTATACTTAGTTGTCCCCAACTGTTTGATATTTTGTATTGTTTGTTCTGCCTGCATTTGTAAAATACATATTTTAAAAATCGTTAAATGCAAAGTTGTAATTTTAGTTACGTAGATTATATTACCCAAATTTGAAATCGATCGGACAAAATTTATAACACAAACTTTTCATTTGAAAAAATGAATAAATATTAAAACCCCAATAATTCAAGCTCCAACACAAATTTCGAAAAACCGAGTATGCAGTTTTGTTTGTATTCTTTTATAGATTATAAAAACCAAATTTAAAGTTGATCGATTCAGAAATGCAGAATTTTCAAACAAACTTTGGAGCTACTTTTCCCCCCTTTGGAGCTCGAATTTTCCAAAATCCCTTCTTAGTGCGCATCTACACCATGATAGGATACTTGAGCCCAGTTTTCAGTTTCCTAGCTTTTACCGTTTGGGCTGTGGGGTGTTGATTGTGTTTCAATTTTTCCACGGAAAACCCCCCCTTTTTCATGCCCCAGGAAAAATGGTGAAAAACCAAGTATACAGTTTTTCTTGTATTCTTTTTGAGAGTATACAAACTAAGTTTGAAGTTAATTGGATGAAAATTGTAGATTTTTCATACAAACGTTGGAGCCCGTTTTCCCCCCTTTGGAGTTCGAATTTTCCAAAACCGCTTCTTAGTGCTCACCTACACCACTGAAGACAACATGTGTCCAATTTTCAGCCTCCTAGCTCTAACCGTTTGGGCTGTGCGTTGATTGCACATAGCTTTTCGTTTACCGAATTTACCACCGGAAAATCATTATTATTCAGGCCGCAGGAAAAATATTGAAAATCCAAGTATACAGTTTTTTTTGTATTCTTTGTGAGAGTATACAAACTAAGTTTGAAGTTAATCGGATAAAAATTGTAGATTTTTCATACAAACGTTGGAGCTCGTTTTCCCCCCTTTGGAGCTCGAATTTTCCGAAACCCCTTCTTAGTGCTCACTTTCACTATAAGAGGGATCTTGTCTCCAAATTTCAGCTTCCTAGCTCTTACCGTTTGGGCTGTGCGTTGATTGCCAATCAGTCAGTCAGTCAGGACAAACTGTTTTATATATATAGATGTGCATAGCAAAGAAAAATTAATGAAGTTCGGTATTGGCCTGTATATAAATTATGCTGTCCAAAAAAAAACAAGAAAGGAATGCTAAAGTCGAGCAACTCTTAAATACCCTGTACCACCCCACAAAAAAGTAATTAATTAATTTAATTAAATTAATTAACTAAATTAATTTAATTAATTAACTAAATATTAACTAATTAAATATAAAATATTCCATGCATGCATACATACATTTACATTTACATCAGAATCGTGCCTTATGCGTGTTTGTGTACTTGTACATATGTATGTATGTGTGCATTGGGCCTGGTTATATGGCTATAACATTCTTTCCGATCATTCTATCATAATGAAACTACGGATATATAATTACTAACCTAATGTAACTACTAAATTTTAGTTCAAAATTCCAAGAATTACGGGAGTTATAGAAAATCGTTAATAGGGGGGGAGTGGGGGGGGGGTGGATCAGGAAAAATGAACAAACTCGTCCTTTCTCGGTCTCATGAGAATCTGTATACTAAATTTGGTTATTCCAGATCTTATACTTTCGGAGATCCTTGCGTTCATACAGACAGACAGACGGACATGGCTATATCGACTCGGCTTGTCATGCTGATCAAGAATATATATACTTTGTGGGGTCTACCAAGCCTCCTTCTGTATGTTACATGTACACTCGCACAAAACTAATATACCCTTTGGGTACAGGGTATAAAAAGATGATACTCAGGTTTAATTAGTAAATATTGTTGCCGTTCCAATTAATAATGGTCAAAAATATTTCGTGTATTATGAAAGCTGACTTATTTAAATTGATTTTTTGCATTATTGTTTATGAAACGTGCGCATGTTTTGATACGAAATTAAGGGTACTTCAATTACCATTTTAAAAAGTATAAATATGTTTGGGCAATAATCACATAAAAAGAAATATAAGTCATTAAAAGTTGCCCTATCGAAAAAAACGTAATAGTGGTTAGGGCCCGTATAGTAATGAAGTGAAATTGTTTCGCTAATAACTTTTCTTATAATTAACCGATTTGGATGGAATTTGAAATAAAAGTAGATATTAATATATAAATTATGTAGCTTTTGTAATGTGGACAGTATTTACGAAATTTTGTAGCATCAAAAAAATCCAGGCGTTCATCTAGACAGACGAATGGACATGTTTAGATCGACTTATCTCGTCATCAATAAGTTATATGGGAGATGCTTTCTTCTGCCTCTTACATACTTTGCATTAGGGTATATTAGGTTTGTGCAAAGTATGTAACATGCATAAGGAAGCATCTCCGACCCCATAAAGTATGTACTTGTATATTCTGAATCAGCATGATGAGAAAAATCGATATAGACATGTCCGTCCGTCCGTCTATCTATTGATGGCGAGATAAGTCGATATAGACATGTCCGTCCGTCCGTCTGGATGAACGCAAGAATCTCAGAAACTATAAAAGCTGGAACAACCAAAGTTAGAATCCAAATTCTCCTAGATCCGAGAAAGGACGATTTTTGGGAATTTTAGCCCCTTTCCACGCTACAGAATTTCGTCAATACTGTCCACATTTCAAAAGCTACCTTAACCAAACATTGCACCTATAATTTGTTTATAATGATCTTCTTTCGTTTCAAATTTCATAGTAATCGGTTAATTCTACGAAAAGTTATTAATGAAATAATGTTACGAAGAAATGTTACCTGCACAAATTGTACCTGATAAAGTGACTGACTGGCAACCAAACTGCAAAAGTAGTGCCTGACAAAGTGACTGGCCAGTAGCTGGCAACACAAAATAGGAATAAAAATTGTGGGCGTGTCGATATGTGGAAGCAACGGCAGACAAAGCGTTCGTCCAGCAGGATACTCAAGCAAAATGTTATGCGACGCATGAAACAAAAGCGCAACAAGTAAGCGTAGAAGAAACGACGTATAACATCACTGTTTGCACAGTAACAGCAGCATCACAAACGAACAAGTGTTAAAGGATTTTCCATACAAAAGGTACACTGGTCTTTGGCAAATATTAAGCAACGCGTACCGTTTGCAAATCAAAAAAAAAAAAACAAGTAAAAAAGCTAAAGTCGGGTGTCCCGACTTTGAAATACTCTGTACATATGTTTACAATAATTATAGAAAATAAAAAAAATTAAGAAAATTAAAAAAAACAAAATTTGATCGATTTTACCTCTCTCGGTATTCGAACTCACGTAAAGGGTGTATAATTGCACATTTACATAGCAATTGCGTCTGTGTGAGTGTATGTATGCCTATGCGCATCTATTCGTGTCTGTGTAAGCATTTTCGCAGTCAACCAAACAGCAACATCAACAACAGCCGCGGGCAGCGCTTGAGCAGCGCTGCAGCAGCGCTGCATCAGCAAATATATTTATGGCTATAACTTCTTGTTAAATCGGTCTATCATAATGAAATTTGGCATACGGACACATAATAACCAACTGGGGGTATTTCCAAAATTCCAAGAATTACGGGAGTTACGATTTGCGGGGTAGAGGGGGGAGGGAGAGGAATTCCAAAATATACATTTTCTGCGTATTCACATAAGGCATCTGGGACTAAAATTTAGTGTTCCTAGGTCTTATAGTCTCCGAGATATAGGCGATTATACGAATGGAAAATCGGGAAAACCCCCATAGGGGGGAAGTGGGGGGGAAAATCAAAAAAATAAAACAAACTCGTATAGAATACACACATAACGCATCTTTGTGCAAAATTTGGTGTCTCTATCTCTTATAGTCTCTGAGATCCAGGTGTTTATACGGACGGACAGACTGACAGACGGACAGACTGACAGACGGACAGACAGACAGACAGGGCTAGATCGACTCGTCTCGTCATGCTGATCAAGAATATATATACTTTGTGGGGTCTGCCACGCCTCCTTCTGCCTGTTACATTTTTCAGCTCCCGCAAACCTAATATACTCTTGTACATTTCATGTACAGAGTATAAAAAGATCTTGCAAAAGTAGTGCCTGACAAAGTGACTGACCAGTAGCTGCCAACACAAAATAGCAATAACAAGACAGAACGCTTCAGTCGAGCAAGCCCGACAGTAAAATAGCCTGTACTCTCCACAAAAAGGAAAATTAAAAAAAAATTTAATTTAAAAAAAATGAATGAATTAATTAATTAAAATAATTAATTAAATTAAATTAGAATACATGTTTATGTTCAGTTTAAACAGCATACATTTACATCACGTACCTATGCGTGTTTATATGCGTGTATGTATGCAGCACAAAGTTGAACAAAAGCAGCAACAACAACAACAGCTGCGGGCAGCGCTGCCGACAGAGGCAGCGCATGAGCAGCGATTTTACTTATGGCTATAACTTTCTTCAGAATTGACCTATCATGATGACACATTAGTACTAACTGGATGTACCTACCAAAATTGATTTTAAAATTTCGAGAATTACGGAAGTTATAAGAAAAAATACGAATTGCGGGGGAGTGGGGGCGTGTATCAGAAAAAATAAATAAACTCGTTCTGCCTAGGGCTTATAGGAACCTTGATACCAATTTTGGTTATCCTAGCTCTTGTACTTACTGAGATCCTTGCGCTCATACAGACAGACGGACATGGCTATATCGACTCGTCTTCTCATCCTGATCAAGAATATATATACTTTGTGGGGTCTGCCACGCCTCCTTCTGTGTGATACATACATGCGCACAAAACTAGTATAGCCTTTCACCCTTTGGGTACAGGCTATAAAAATATTTACAATATCTAAGCTCGTTAATTGTAGGCAGGAGCAACCAAAAAAAAAAAATATTATATAAAAATATTTACAATATCTAAGCTCGTTAATTGTAGGCAGGAGCAACCAAAAATAAATACAACTTACAGATTGCGGCACTGCCTAACCTTACTCTCTTATTATACCCTGTACCCAAAGGGTACAAGGGTATATTAGTTTTGTGCGAGTGCACATGGAACACACAGAAGGAGGCTTGGTAGACCCCACAAAGTATATATATTCTTGATCAGCATGACAAGCCGAGTCGATATAGCCATGTCCGTCTGTCCGTCTGTCTGTCCGTCTGTCTGTCTGTCTGTATGAACGCAAGGATCTCCGAAAGTATAAGAGCTAGAATAACCAAACTTGGTATACAGATTCTCCTGAGACCGAGAAAGGACGAGTTTGTTCATTTTTTCTGATCCAACCCCCCACTCCCCCCCTATTAACGATTTTCTATAACTCCCGTAATTCTTGGAATTTTGAACTAAAATTTGATAGTCACATTAGGTTAGTAATTATATATCCGTAGTTTCATTATGATAGAATGATCGGAAAGAATGTTATAGCCATATAACCAGGCCCAATGCACACATACATACATATGTACAAGTACACAAGCACGCATAAGGCACGATTCTGATGTAAATGTAAATGTATGTATGCATGCATGGAATATTTTATATTTAATAAGTTAATATTTAGTTAATTAATTTAATTATTTTTTTGTGGGGTGGTACAGGGTATTTCAGAGTTGAGCCTGCTCGACTTTAGCATTCCTTTCTTGTTTTTCTTTTCACTGCAGGCACATTTTAAAGGTAATTTAACCTATTGGTAAATTAATATTTTTTCTGCGGCGTAAACCCAAAAAAATATAAGAAACCGGATCATTAGGAAAACATTTAACGTTAAAACCTAATTCGGCGGTTTTTCCATTCGCACTGTCCACTTTAGAAGGCGTTTAAATTAACCCCGAAAGTAATTATTTTGCGACTGGCCATAAGCACAGGGTCCGCCGGCGTATACATCCGCGCATCAACTGCTGGGCTTAGAGTTCTCGGGTCCGCCAGTGAGTACGAAAATAGTTCGTTTTTTCGGACAAAAATTTAAGAGCGGCTTAATAAATAGCTCCAGACGTAGTAGAATGCATCGTACATAGGTATATGCATAGGCATATAGGCTCCAGACTTAGTGCCGAATCTAAATGTGAGCGAACAGAAAAACGGCAACTAAGTAATAGGCACAAAAAAACAAGCCTGAAATTAAAATATTTACCCTGTTCGGCATCAACTTAAGAACAATTCCTTTGCCAACGCAAATGGCATCCATGCAAAAAAAATAAAATAGGCAGTAGCTCTAACTTGCACTTAACGCAGGCGTTCACTTTTATAGCAACATTTGTTTTTTTTTTTTTTAACAAAAGTTGTTCTTTTATTGTAAATTTGTTGCACGGGAGCAATTATTTCTTGCCCAAATTAAAATTTTAATGCAAGCACATTTCTTTTTGCTATGCGAAAAAGTACGTCTGTTCCGTTCGGCGGTTCAAAGAAAAAGAAAGTGGCTAGTTCCAACATAGGCTCATTAGCCTTTCCACGGAAGTGGTTGAGGTGGCAGTTGTCAAAAGAAAGGTGCAAGGAGAACACTGACATTGACAATTCAGCCAAAAGAAAGGAAAAGAGAAATGAACCTTGCCACGACCATAGATGGCGCTCGTATGCAACTAATCTACTACTAAGAGTAACCGTAGATTCTACTACTAAATGTAAAACCGAATCTACTACTAAATACAAAGGCAAAAAAAAAAATAAAATTTTACTACAAAATAAAAATAAATAAAAGCAAAGTTATTAATATTTGCGACAAGCGCTCCTACAATTTGTATCCAAAGGCTTTTAAGACCAAAACAACAGAAGCACCAAAAATATCTACGACTCAATCTTACGTTTGGATACCAGGCACAAACTGGCGTTTCAAAGCCCAACATGTGCCACCATATCAACTCGTTCCATTTAAACCTCTCGGTTATGAAAGGCCTCCCCCAAAACCCAAACACAGGATCGATGTATCACCACCCACTTATGCCAACCCCAACAAATGGCAGAAGTGGTCTAAATATGGACAGAATAATACGTATTGGAGGCCAGAATATGAGCATTATAAGAAATACAAGTATGCACAAGTCGGGCAGCCCGCAGCAAATATGAAATGGCGAAAAAGGCCAACAGGTTCGTCTAAATATGATCATTACATTGACAATTGGACATCGCATGGACAGCACGTACAGTCGTGGAAGTCAGATGTTCCAGACAAGTGGTCGAAATGGACAACAGTATCCCCCAAATGGACGAACTATGGCAATCGCTGGTATAGGGATGTGGAACAGAGCAATAACGATGATATAACAGTGCTCCTTATGAATTATATGACTATGCGGATCTGACCGCTCTTAGAGATTGGCGGCATTATCATGCGCATCGCGATCGCCGACAGTTGTTTGATCAACTTTCTGGTTTCAGTCGTCTGTGAGTAAATTTGCAAATATATTGCTACCTTCAGTTAATTAGATGTGATTTGATTTATAATAATTTTAAAATTTCTATTCGACCAGACTTGGCTTCGATGTAAAGACTTGCATTTTACGAGCCATGTGCGACAGCAAGCGATTACTGTTGCCACCGGGCTATTCCATGATGCAGGATATAATACGACTGATCTTCACGTAAGTTATTCCATTAACCCTATAACGCATGTTTAAAACGCTAAACGATGTATACAGAATGCCCACCATAACGGGCGTGGAAGATGAATACAGTCAGGCAATGCGTATGGATCCCGAACACTGTGCCCAACATTTTCGTCAGCAATGCAAGGTAGATATACTGGCTTGGCTTTTCAGTGGTCATTAAAATAAGAACAAAAGCAGAACCCATTTATTTAACTCGTTTTATTGTACAAAGTTTGCCTCCCACATGGATTGCTTGCATTCTGGATAGAGAGCGGCACAATCTCCGTTGTGGGCATGGGCCTTGTCATAGCGTGCATTCTGATAGGCGACCGGTTCGTCCTCCAATGCTTCGGGAATGGTAAAGACGGCGCGCATGAGTTCGCCCACAAAAGTGCCCGGCTCCTTTTCATGGGACTTTTGACCAGTTTCGCATAGTGTACGGAAAACGCAGTGATGACCGTGCTGACCACGTCTATAGGGTGAGAGAAGATGGGGAAATTTGAACCAAGGGATTACATTCTGGGGAATGATTAGTGTATAATAGTTCTCTGAATAATCGAAATGGTTGAACTGGTTGGCTAGTTTTGGTTTTGCTAACTAAGATTCTTGTTCATTTAACTCACTTATTCAAATACTTTTCGATGCGTTCATATAATGCCTGTCGACTAGTGCGATGATACTTGATTTGTATGCGATCCAATCTGCTTAGCTCGGCCTCGCTTTCGCTGGCCACACCACTACGTCGCTGGCGATGGTGCGGATTGCCTGGATCCGGTATACTGCGTTTTCCAAACACCGGAAAAATGCGATGATGGCGTGTAAACGGTTTCCTTTAGGTTGTATATGTGCCTCCGTCTGGCGCAACGCCTGTAGTGCGCTTGCCTCGCGTAGCAGAACAGATTTTTAAATTTTTGTATGAGCCCAGAAGTAGGCAAAGAAGTTATATTGGTTCCCTTCTGATATATGTCTGTTCCTAGTTCGGAGGATTTATCGCCCTCTGGTGGTTAGAGAAAGTAGATGTAATGTCGTTACTAATTTCTTTTGGCTGACACCCGCCGTCAAAGGGCGGAAGAAAGGAGAAATGTCCGCGAACGGATGTCTTCGCCGCCAACTAAGCTCTTTCGTTTTTTCTTGTAGTGACTCTACTAGTGAAAAGTTGTGCGCGCTGAGCTCTAGTTGAAATACTTAGAAAGTAAAAGAAAATTATACAAGTTATTGCACAGTGTGGTTTACGTTTATATAACCCAAAATAGTGGATTTGGCGCTGTCCTATATTTTTTGTGTCCAGCACACAAATTTATACAAGGTTGGTGTTGACTTTTATTTTGTGCGAACAATTTCCATATATGCTGATTAGTGGAAATTCTAAATTCTAATTTAGAGCGAGCGATTGAAGCAATAGAAGCCCCCACCCAGAACCGAGGAAATTAGTTCACATAATTTGTGGTGCTGTTCCAGTTAGGGTATATACAAGTATATATATTTTTTGTTGTTGTTGTAACAAAGGCTCTCTTATATTTAGAATTGGCACCACAAGTGCAATTTCAAGCTCAAGTGCTATTTTGTTCTATGACTTAGAACAAGTGCAGCTTATTTTTTTTTGTTATAGTGCATATATTGCGCTGAAAATGTGTGATATATTACATATGTACAAGTATATGCAGTAGCCAAAATATATGCTAGCGCAAGGCAAAAGGAAAAAAAAAACCACCAACAAAATAGTGGGGAAAAAAATGTACATCAATTTGCTTTGACGCCGCCGCCTCTCTCGCGTAATATTGTTCTTGTTTTCAGCTGGCAGCCACTCTCGAAAGATCTTTTGGACGTGGATCCACCAGCTTTGTATGTAAGTACCACGCTTTACTTATTTACTCCGCCTCTCTGAGAGAGCTTTTTCTTTCGTGTATGAGTTGCGAAAGCGCGTGTGCTGCAAACCGGCAAGCAATATACATATACTATACTAGCAGGTATTGCCCGTCTTAACCCGGCTCAATATAATGTTTCCAATTGTATTTATTTTGTGTGTGCATAACCTACCCATATGTTTTCACCTTATAAGTTACCAGTAGGAAGGCATTTAAGGTATTTAAATGAACATTTTCTGTTCTTGACAAAAAATTGTTCAGTAGTCCGTTACATTTTTGTTCTTGACAAACTATTTCGTTAAACGAACATGACCACTATAACTAATATTTTTTAAAGCTCGTTTTCCCCCCTTTGGAGCTCGAATTTTCAAAAATCCCTTCTTAGTGCTCATCTACACCATGATAGGATACTTGAGCCCAAATTTCAGCATCCTAGCTTTTACCGTTTGGGCTGTGGGCTGTTGACGCGGTTTCCTTTTGTGCCCCAAGAAAACCCCAATAATTCAAGCTCCAACAAAAAATTTAAAAAACCGGGTATGCAGTTTTCTTTGTATTCTTTAATTGATTTTAGAAACTAAGTTTTAAGTCGATCGGTTGAAAAATGCGGATTTTTCAAACAAACTTTGGAGCTACTTTTCCCCCCTTTGGAGCTCGAATTTTCTAAAATTTCCAGATCGATTTCTCTCGTCATGCTGATTTAGAATATATATACTTTATGGGGTCGGAGATGCTTCCTTCTGCATGTTACATACTTTGCACAAACCTAATATACCCTTTTTACCCTACGGGTACAGGGTATAACAAGTAAAAAAGCTAAAGTCGGGTGTCCCGACTTTGAAATACTCTGTACATATGTTTACAATAATTATAGAAAATACAAAAAATTAAGAAAATAAAAAAAAATTCAATGATCGATTTTACCTTTCTCGGTATTCGAACTCACGTAAAGGTTGTATAATTGCACATTTACATAGCAATTGCGTCTGTGTGAGTGTATGTATGCCTATGCGCATCTATTCGTGTCTGTGTAAGCATTTTCGCAGTCAACCAAACAGCAACATCAACAACAGCCGCGGGCAGCGCTGCAGCAGCGCTGCATCAGCAAATATATTTATGGCTATAACTTCTTGTTAAATCGGTCTATCATAGTGAAACTTGGCATACGGACACATAACTATACCGTCTGTCGGTATGAGCGCAAGGATCTCAGTAAGTACAAAAGCTAAGATAACCAAAATTGGTATCAAGGTTCCTATAAGCCCTAGGCAGAACGAGTTTGTTTATTTTTTCTGATACACCCCCCCACTCCCCCGCAATTCGTATTTTTTCTTATAACTTCCGTAATTCTCGAAATTTTAAAATCAATTTTGGTAGGTACATCCAGTTAGTACTAATGTGTCATCATGATAGGTCAATTCTGAAGAAAGTTATAGCCATAAGTAAAATCGCTGCTCATGCGCTGCCTGCAGCTCTGTCGGCAGCGCTGCCCGCAGCTGTTGTTGTTGTTGCTGCTTTTGTTCAACTTTGTGCTGCATACATACACGCATATAAACACGCATAGGTACGTGATGTAAATGTATGCTGTTTAAACTGAACATAAACATGTATTCTAATTTAATTAATTATTTTAATTAATTAATTCATTCATTTTTTTTTTAATTAAATTATTTTTTAATTTTCCTTTTTGTGGAGAGTACAGGCTATTTTACTGTCGGGCTTGCTCGACTGAAGCGTTCTGTCTTGTTATTGCTATTTTGTGTTGGCAGCTACTGGTCAGTCACTTTGTCAGGCACTACTTTTGCAAGATCTTTTTATACTCTGTACATGAAATGTACAAGAGTATATTAGGTTTGCGGGAGCTGAAAAATGTAACAGGCAGAAGGAGGCGTGGCAGACCCCACAAAGTATATATATTCTTGATCAGCATGACGAGACGAGTCGATCTAGCCCTGTCTGTCTGTCTGTCCGTCCGTATGAACACCTGGATCTCAGAGACTATAAGAGATAGAGACACCAAATTTTGCACAAAGATGCGTTATGTGTGTATTCTATACGAGTTTGTTTTATTTTTTTGATTTTCCCCCCCACTTCCCCCCTATGGGGGTTTTCCCGATTTTCCATTCGTATAATCGCCTATATCTCGGAGACTATAAGACCTAGGAACACTAAATTTTAGTCCCAGATGCCTTATGTGAATACGCAGAAAATGTATATTTTGGAATTCCTCTCCCTCCCCCCTCTACCCCGCAAATCGTAACTCCCGTAATTCTTGGAATTTTGGAAATACCCCCAGTTGGTTATTATGTGTCCGTATGCCAAATTTCATTATGATAGACCGATTTAACAAGAAGTTATAGCCATAAATATATTTGCTGATGCAGCGCTGCTGCAGCGCTGCTCAAGCGCTGCCCGCGGCTGTTGTTGATGTTGCTGTTTGGTTGACTGCGAAAATGCTTACACAGACACGAATAGATGCGCATAGGCATACATACACTCACACAGACGCAATTGCTATGTAAATGTGCAATTATACACCCTTTACGTGAGTTCGAATACCGAGAGAGGTAAAATCGATCAAATTTTGTTTTTTTTAATTTTCTTAATTTTTTTTATTTTCTATAATTATTGTAAACATATGTACAGAGTATTTCAAAGTCGGGACACCCGACTTTAGCTTTTTTACTTGTTTTTTTTTTTTTGATTTGCAAACGGTACGCGTTGCTTAATATTTGCCAAAGACCAGTGTACCTTTTGTATGGAAAATCCTTTAACACTTGTTCGTTTGTGATGCTGCTGTTACTGTGCAAACAGTGATGTTATACGTCGTTTCTTCTACGCTTACTTGTTGCGCTTTTGTTTCATGCGTCGCATAACATTTTGCTTGAGTATCCTGCTGGACGAACGCTTTGTCTGCCGTTGCTTCCACATATCGACACGCCCACAATTTTTATTCCTATTTTGTGTTGCCAGCTACTGGCCAGTCACTTTGTCAGGCACTACTTTTGCAGTTTGGTTGCCAGTCAGTCACTTTATCAGGTACAATTTGTGCAGGTAACATTTCTTCGTAACATTATTTCATTAATAACTTTTCGTAGAATTAACCGATTACTATGAAATTTGAAACGAAAGAAGATCATTATAAACAAATTATAGGTGCAATGTTTGGTTAAGGTAGCTTTTGAAATGTGGACAGTATTGACGAAATTCTGTAGCGTGGAAAGGGGCTAAAATTCCCAAAAATCGTCCTTTCTCGGATCTAGGAGAATTTGGATTCTAACTTTGGTTGTTCCAGCTTTTATAGTTTCTGAGATTCTTG